AAATTAACTCCTTTGATAATTATTTTTAATTGAATTATAAAATTAAAAATTATTTAAAAATAAGATTTACAAATTTTGAGTTTTAAATTTTATAAAATATATTTTTAAAATTTTAATTATATATAATATTATATTATAAGATACATAGATACTTGATAAGATATGACATATGGATGCCTACATATATAACTTATATTTTTGACACATAAAATGATATATACAATTATTATGCAATCAAAAATTTAAAAAATATTAAAACTTTAAATTTAAAATTTGAAAATATTTAAATCTATCCTATTTAAATTTCAAATTTCAAGATAAAATTGGATGAGGAAAAAAACAAAAAAAAAAAATTAGATTACAGGTTAATTACGTGAAAACATGAAGCTATTAGACTGATCTTTTTAAAATTAAAATTAACTTGTAATAATAATAAGAAACTTAAAAAAGTGCAAAATAAATCAATTGAAATATCTAAATTCAAAAATCTCAAATACAATATTTATTTTTATAAATTTTCAAATTATCCTTTAGTATTTGATTTTTTAAAATTTAAAACACACATATCATCTTTTTAAATTAAAAAAATACTTATCAATTTGAAATATATATATATATACACACATATATAGACATCCTAATTACCATCCTATATTAATTTTATTTGCAACTTTTCTTTCAAAGTTATTTGTTTTTTTCTTAAGTAATTTTTTTTTTCAATTCATTTTTTCTTTTGATAGACATCTGTTGATTGTTTTAATATTTTGTTCAGCAATTTGATTAAGAATACATCAGTGAAGGTATGTCAATATTTATTTTATAATGTTATTCATCATTCAATAATATTTTTATATTTTGATACACATCTATTTTTTCTTCATGATTTTGAGATAGATCTTAATTACGATGAGATGTCTTTTTTTTTTTTAAATCATTAAAAAGAAAAAATTATTATAATTGATTATTTTCAAAATAAAATACATATTTTATGAGTTGTTAATTGTATATATAAATTTTATATATATTAAAAACATTAGAGACTTCAATATAATTTGGTAAATAATATTAATTTATTTGTATATAAAATATTTAAATAAATAAAGCAAATTATATATTACACGAGTTACAAGTAAGTATAATATTTTAAAAAATAAAAATCAAATTAAAATTAATTTATAAAATTAATAAAAAAGTAATTATTTTGACAAAAAAATATTATTATATAATATATCTTTCATGCTAAGAAGGTAAGAAAAAGTAAATTAAAAGACAAGAAATATCCTGCCATGCAAACTGTCATGCATTACTTAATTTCATTTCCCTTAAAAAATGGTAAAGGAATAAAGAAGAATTAACTCTCCGAGTTTCCATAATTGCTTGTCCTTTATAAAAGGTTACCCTATAAGACATAGCAGGGTAGATTGCATGTGAGGGAACTAAAAATAATATTTAGACATAAAAAATAATATATTACATAGATATATTAATATGGATAAAATTAAATATAAAAAATTTAAAATATAATACAAATTTGAAATAAATAGATATTATCTTATAATTTATTCGTAATGAACATTTATTTTAATTTGTTCATTAATCATGCTACAAATTATTATTTTTTAATTTTTTTTCTCATAATAATCAACATTTTAAAAATTAGTGTGTTGTGACGAGTTAATAAAAATTACACATTAAATCGAATGCCCAACATACGTATAATAACTAAAGACCAATAAACATCATTCATAAAAATGTCAAATAAACTTAAATAAAATTTAATATAATAAAATACTCAAAATACACATGATAACTTTTTAATTTTCACTTATAAAGTTTAAAAATTTCAGCAACATTGCATACAAACTCAAAAAATATTTTTGTTAATCCATTTTAATCTTGAAATCCCACAACATACTTTAAGTTATTCAGAATTATAAAATATAAATTTAAACGAGGGATGGCAACTGAACGTATTAGAGTATTTTGAATTCAAATTATTAAAATTTAAATTGTTTTAGATTAGAATTTTTTTATATTTGAATCCTTTTAAATTTAAATCGAGTTTAAATTTTGGCTAATTAAGCCATTTTTTAGATGTTATAAAAAACGCAATTATTTCAACATGTTTCAATTTTGAATTTTTTTCAAATTTAAATAATTTCAAAATTTTTTTAATTCAAGTTTTTAAATTTTTATTCAATTAAGTTCAATTAAAATTTGATTGAAACTTTTTGGAGTGGTTTTATCCATTTTGTCGTCTCTTCCTTAAACCTACTACATTTCTATATTTTAATTTGTAGTGAAAAATTTCCGAAAATGTTTAAGATTAATAACTTTAATGTAATTATCAGTTAAACTTTCGCTTAATTAACGTATAAAAAACTATAGTTACCAAGCCACCTAGTAATCTCTATCTGCGTTTCTAATTGTGCATAACATGTGGTTACTTTCAACTTATGACAAAAAAATTTTAGAATTATTTACTCCTTTTTTGTCTCGTTTATTAAAGTTTTTTTTTTTTTTTTCTTTTTCCTTTTGGCCTTATAGGCAAATGCTGAAGTAGCATTTAATCTCCTCTTTTTACCCATCTGCCAGAAAAAAAAAAAAAAAACAATAAATTTATGTATAATTGCATTAGGAATTAAGATCTTATTAAGATAATCACCATGTAGCTATCTTACTTTTTTGTGTTTTACAAAAGAAAGTTAAAAAAATTATTATTAAATTTAAAATTTAAATTTATTAAATATTTTTTTAAAAAAATAATTATATTAATTAATTAAATTAAATTGACAAGTCAATAACTTACCCTCAACAACAATAATTATCATAACGTATCGATCCGAAGATTCGGTTACTAGACATTAAATATTTAAAAAATTATAAAAAAAATATATATGAGAAGTCGTCACTATTTTTTTTTGGTTAAGTGTGATTGACTACCTATTAAAACTTATCTTTTTAATAAATTAATTAAAATTTATTAAAAAGATAATTTTTGGGTTTGCGAAAAATAATCTGAGTTCAAGAGTTGGTTATATAATTTATTAAAAAGATAATTTTTGGATTTGCGAAAAATAATCTGAGTTCAAGAGTTGGTTATATGAGGGGAATGATTAGTACCTCCATAGCGTTTGTTTAAAATTATACAAATTAATTATATGTTATCTTTTAATATTAACAAAAATTATTTTAATTTTGGTATTTATAGATTAATTTTCTTGTTTTCTTTACAAAACATAATTTTATTTTTTTAATAGGCTCAAAAAGTAAATAAGAACTTTATATTGAAAATTTTTCAAAAATACTCTAATACTCTATGATATTAAAAAGAACTATCTCACTTAAAAAATTTTTAAGAATCACTACTTGAAATTCTCAAAAATCTTATCCTCAATAGTTATATTTATTTTCAATGTTTATTTTTTTTGAAAAAAAATGAAAAATATAATATCTATAATATTAAAGCAAATAATATTTCATGAAACTCATTTTTATGCCATTTACAAAAAGAACGAGAAATTTTTATAAAAAATTAATCTAAATACTCTAATATATAGATGACATTTTAGATAGATCTTCTTACTTAAAAATTTTTAAAGAATTACTACTTGAATGTTTTTATAATCTCATTCTTTGAGATTTTTGTCTGATTTTAAAAATTATTAAAAATCATGTAATAGTATAATTATCTTCTTGTTTATTAAGAAAACTATTCAAATTATAGAAAACAATTATAAAATGAAAATTTTCATATTGAAAAGATATTTCTAAATATTCTAATACTTTGATAATTTTTAAAAAAATTTTCTTACTTAGGGAATTATCGGGAATCACTACTTGGACTTCCCGGAATCCCATCATAAGAAATTCTCATTATCTTAAAAATCATGTAATAATATCATTATCTATAAACAAATTTATTTCTAAAAATAAATAATAAAAAAACTACTCAAAATAAGAATAATGATAAAATGAAAATTTTTTGTATTGAAAAGAAACTTCTAAATATTTCAATACTTTAGTAATATTTAAAAATCTTTTCTCACCTAAAGAATTTTTAGAAATCACTACTCCGACTTTCAGGAGTTCCATCATTGGAGATTTAAAATGTGTACATAAGATCATGTAATGCAAGATAATAAAGTAAAATATGCAAAAAAAAATATAACACTTATTATGATTTAATCAATTTCCAATTATGATTAACACCTTTAAAAGGAACAAAGTAAGTAAAATTTTTATTGAAAATTTTCCTATAAACCCCAATTCTTTGATGGTATTTTAGAAAATTTTTCTCACTTAAAGATTTTTTAAGAATTTTTACTCGAACTTTTTTAGAATCCCATCCTAAAAAATTTTAAAGCACATAAGAATATGTAATGCAAATAATTAAGTAGAATGTGTATACAAAAATATTGATTATGCTTTAATCTTCTTTACTTATCTTCTAAATATTTTGAAAGGAACAAAGTAAATAAAAATTTTATTGAAAGTTTTTTTAGATACTTCAATACTTTGGCTATACTTTAAAAAAAATTTTTCATTTAGCGATTTTTTAGGAATCTCTACTCAAACTTCCTTAAAATCCTATCTTTGAAAATTTTTATTCACTCTATCATTTCTTAATTAATTATTTTTATTTTAAAAACTTTGATTATACCAATTTTATTACTAAAGGAGTCACTATACATTATTATTAACCTCTATCAAAATTTTAGAAAAAAATTGACAAATGAAACTTATTATTGAATTTTTTTTAAATACTCTATTACTTTGGTAATATTTTTAAAAAAATATTTTCACCTAGACATTTTAGAGAATCATTACTCGGATTTCTCTAAAATATCATCTTCAAAAAATTTCATTTGATTTATTATTAAAACTTGTGTTTCATAAATAAAATGCCAAACATAAATTAAAGTATGAACGATTAAATTAAGACAAACATAGGAATCTAACTAATAAGAAAATTAAAATTGTATAAAATTAAACTTGCAAGTAAACTTAAACAACATAAAAATATACATATAGGCATGGTTAAACTTAAACATACATGAAAACAGATCTTTATTGAGAATAAACTTGACGTTTTATGGTTTAACTAAAAACCTACACCTAACTAACAAAAGAAATGCATAGTATTATATACAATGCAACAATCTCATCTTTATCCCCCTCTGCCATGGCCTCTTTATCGCCCATATGATGTTAATATTATGGCTATGTTCTACTAACAATATTTGGGATATGGACCACCAATATTTGTCCTGTGTCGCGAGTGGTAGGCCGGCATAAAAGCTTTGCCAGCAGAGGAACTTACTGTTGCCATCAAAGCCTTCTTATCTGATCTTTGCCTTCTGATGGACCAACAAGTAGAACAACTGCAGAAGAAAGAGAAATCAGTTGATGCAAACACTGGAGAATCAGAGAACAAAGATCGTGTTAACAGGTTAACAGATGGTTATACAAATGATGATGTATCTTCAGACTTGTGCTGCATACAAACAAGTTTGAATCGGGTTCTTGATAGACTAAATAAATTTTCTGAGGCCTCTCTTAAAATGTACGAGGATTTTAAGACAGAAAAGTGAAGCAGCTCGAATTGCATACCTCAAATTGCAGGCCAACTAGATTTACCAAGGCTATGTAATTATCAAATACAAGCATATTAAGGTTTGGTTTGGAAATAGACCGTTGTAAATTCCAAAGAGTAGTTGCAAATAGCTTTCCTGAAGAAATAGAACAATATTGGAAGTGTCAAAAATACTAATCCTGTCAAAATTGGATTGGAAGAGTTCAAGACAAGCAAATATGCAGGATTCAATCTTCTGCTATTCTTCTATTAAAAAGAAAATGTATATAGTTCATCAATACAGTTACAAACAATACTGCTTTCAAGCTTCAGCACGTTATTCTTTCCAAACCTAGGCTATATACCGGGATTTCAACAGCTGCATTGACCTGAACCCTGTATTTAATATGGCAAAAGAATTTAAAACATTCCATCCATTGTATGATCTACTTGTTTGTTCCATCAATTTTTGGCACTCACGATTACATAAGTTAACCTTGGATTCCTGCTTTCTCTAGTCATTGGAACCCCGCAAGCTGTGTGTACTGAGCATATGCTTCTGACTGCATTGCAATCGGGGCCCGGGTAACGTAAGGTGGAAGATCAAATGCATCTATAAGCTCCCCTGCAATATTTCTCACTTGGAAACACAGGTATTCTGTGAGCTTGTGGATTGCCTGCATAAAGGAAATAGTTGCATTAATGAAACAACCTCATAAAAATTATATATCTAGCAATAACTTGAATATACACATCATGTTTCTATAACTGTACATTAGATGTTTATAGTCATCCATGTTCTCCAGGGACGGTGACAGTATAAAAAGGGAAAAGACCCCTTTCTATATCTTCCAAGTAGTTTTGATTAAAACTATACCTTAGCTTTGTTAGGTGCAACATAATCAACATTACAGTAAGTTCCTATGTCTTTCCAGATCCGATCCAGGGCATAAAGATCGCATACAAGTTTCAGAGCAGCTTGACTACTGGCATCAGGACAGCTGCAAGTTCAATTCAAGCCCAATTAGAAATTCAAGAAAATATATATATATATATATTTATGCCAAGTGAAAAAATATAAATTCGGTAGCTGAGTTTAGGAAGTACTTCTGCACAGCTTCAATAAACTTTGCAAGGATGACAGACTCGATATGAGACTCTGCAAGTGTTAGTAGGTGATTCAGGCACCTATTCCATGCACCAAAGCTGCCAAGAGTTTTAGAGTGTTTTCGAAGTCGTGCCGCTACACTTTGAAGCAGTCTTGAGGTTCGGTACTGAATACCAAAATTAAACAAATATTGTGTTACAACTTACGCTGACGAAACTCTTAGTACAATAACAAAGAAAACACTTACCCTGAAGGCATCCAACTGGAATTTAGGGTCTCGCAAGTGGTCTGCGCTTTCCCAACGGGCAGTTACAGGATTTGGCTGAGACAAGTATGTGTTCATAGATTCTCTCAAGTAGTTCCATGTCACAGAAAGAGTACCACCTTGGAACTTGTCCTTATATTGCTTCAATAGATCGCCAGCTACCTACATCCCAGTAAAAAGTTCTAATGTAGCTTCCATTGAAAAGCAAAATAGACGTTTAGCAACACTAATTCCAGACTATAATACATATTTGGTGCCAATGAACGAAAACCCTGTGAAGGCCCTTTGCACATTAAACTAATAAGCAATAAGAAGATTGCTTTAAATAAACATCCAAATGACAACAATATCTAATCAGACCCATGAAGAGTCCATGTAAATTAATCAACATAAGGTTTAATAAATCATTTAAACGCATATATGTATATATATGTAACATGAAGAGACATCATATAAATAATAAGTGTTAACCCTATTTGAACAATCTTGATGAATGGATGTAGAAGGCATGAAAGTCATGCTTGCACATCTAAATTTAGCCTCAGCTGAGATGGAAACAGGGTCACATTTTAGATACGGCACTATTTCCAGATATATCTTCAGACTACCTGAAGAAGACTGGCAATCTGACTTTTGGTTATTGCACTATGTCGTTGACAACTGACCAGAATTTGAAGAAGTGGTCAGTTAGGCAAGGTACCAAAAGATGACACTAAACACCAAAAGCCATCTATAGGGATCACTCCTGCTCTTTTTACCTAGTGTTTAGCACAATATATTTCTGGACACTAATCCTTTATATGGAAACAAACGTTGTAAATTCTCAAGCAAGGTTGTAATATAAAGGGATTTGTCTAAAACCTGTTGCAGAAGTACTGTGTTGTCTCCTTCAAATGTCTGGAAAATGTCATGATCATTCCTCAAGGTACCAAACCGATTGACAGCAGCATACCCATGGCCTCCGCAGGCTTCCCTGCAGGTACTCAATGACTTTGCTGTATATGATGTCACATAGGACTTCAGGCCTGCAGAAAGCGAATGGACATCTCCAACCAGTTGTTCGTCATGCGTCTTTTTCATCTCTGAATATTTCTCCACCAAAAACTGAGTGGTGAAATGAAACGCATAAGTTGAAGCCAACATTGGCATAAGCTTGTGCTGTTGAGATTGATAATCAAGAATGCTGACTTCAGGCTGTCTGGGAGGGCCAAATTGCTGACGTAGTAAGGAGTATCGCACTGCAATAGTAACAGAAATCTTGAGGACACCAACTGAAGAATTTGCAAGGCCAACCCTCCCACCTACAAGTTCACCTAGTGTAGCAGCAAAACGTTTGTTTATTGTAGGGAGACTACTTGTGTATTTTCCATCTCGAGAAACATCCCCAAATCGATTAAGAAGATTATCTCGCGGAATTCTAACTGAACGGAATCTCAGTGCTCCATTATCCACCCCATTCAGGCCAATTTTGTGGCCACAATCATGTATTTCAATTCCTGGAAGTGTCTGGTGAGTTTTTAGATCCCTTATCGGCACAATGAAGGCATGGACTCCCATATCAGAAACCCCTTTAGAGTCATGAGTTGGTAAAATCAGCTTAGCAAACACTGTTGCAAACTTGCCATGAACAGCAGCATTGCCAATCCACCATTTGATGGCCCCATCATTTGGTGTGTCGATAATAAATTCATCCGTAATTGGATCAAATGTTGCCACGGTTTGGAGACCCTGAACATTTGAGCCTTTTAAGCACAAAATTGACGGTTTAGTTTGGTATGCATGCTTAGCAGATTAGAACAAAAAATGAAAACATTCAGGGCAAAGGAATGGATACACTTTTCAACATCATAATGACGCGCTAACATGAAAAGCACAGTAACTACAAAAGAACTTGATTGATTTCACCAAAAAAAAAAAAATCTTCTGCATAAATTGTGGTCTTCAACCTCCTTGATGCCTATAACATCAATCTCTCAATGAAATATTTACAGATTTAATTCATATTTCAAAATGACCGTACTCTGTTGATTGCCATGATGAGTTGTAATGCAGAGAACAGCAGAATGAATATGTCAAAGGCAGCACAAGAATATACAATTAAGAAAGAAAAGAGAACAAAATATAAATACATAATGAACAGAGAGCTCACCATGATGTAGTTCTGTCATAGCGAAACAACCAAGATAATCCAAATTGTCAATACCATCAAAATACTTATCCCGGTGCTTTTTAGTTCCTAAGTTCAGCACAGAACCTCCCCAAAGACTGCATAATAAAAAATTCAACATCAACTTAAGTCTAAATCAAAATTAATAAATTGTTAGAATTATGCATGTAAGATATCACGTCAGTTAGCATCATGCTTCTATAAATGAATTTTCAATCATAAGACACTTCATTTCATCGTCACATTCATTACTTTAATAATAATAATAATAATTCACCAAGAATCTGCTCAAATGCAGTATCCAAGTGGTCTACATGTACAACAGAATCTTACTCAAAATAATTCCATCTCACAAACTCAATCTTCAAGCATTTATATCCAAAACCCAGATACTAAAACTCAAAATTTAACAAAAAAACATAACAAACTTTCTTAAATTAAATACCCAAAATCCAAGAAATTCCAAGATTAAAACTTTAAAGCCAAGAGAGCCAGAAAAGTAACAATAATTACCTATATTGGACACCAAATTTGATCCCAAAAGATATATCAACACTCCCAACAGCCTCAGAAATAGCAAAATACATAGCAGGATCTTCAACAACATATCTAAAAGGCTTAATCTTTGCTTCTCCAACCAACCCCATAAGCTGTCTGATACAAAGCTCCCTATGTTCATTCATTGAAATCTCAATTGGGGTTTGCAAATCAGGCCTCGAGTTAAAAAATTCAAAAATTTTCTCTTGAATTTCCCTGTTCTTCCCTCTCATGTAGCTTGAAAGAGAGACGTTGTCAACCTCCAGCTTACTAGCCTTGGCGCATGTTAGCATGTTGAGCTGAGGTGAAGGTTGCAGGGGTGAAAGTGGGGTCAGGTGGAGTGACAGCATTTGGATACGGCGTTTCATGGTGGTGACGGATTGTTGTGGTTCATCCTCCACCGTCTGATTCGGTTTCATTTTTTCTTTACCCAAAAAAAAAAAAAAGCAATGGATGCGGGAATGGGCTTTCTTTCTTCTTCTCCTTGTAGGGCAATAATGGTAAAACAAAGGAGGGATTGTGTAATTTAAACGCAAAGCTGATGGGAATATAGCGTTGGGCCGGTCAACACGCGGCGATAGGTCGTTGGATTTAAGGAAGCTGTTACGTTGGCGCGCTTTCTAATGAGGGGAATGGATAATAGTGATGACGTCGGTGGTTATGGAGCGATGAGATAAGGTGTGCTTGGCCTTACCTTTTATTTTAAGGAAAATTAAAAAGATATATTTAAACTTGGGAGAATTATATTTCCCATGCATTTGCGAAAATTAAACAATGAATTGAATTTTAAAAAGTATATAAAATTTCAAAATTAGAATCCAAATCCGTATAAAATTTTTCTTTCTTAAGACATGATGAAACAAGCATAATAATTTTTTTTCTTAAGTACAAGAACATCAACAATGTTGAAAAATCAAATTAATAACAATTTTTACATTCAATCTATTAACATTATTCTTAAATTTAGATATTATATCTAGTGTATTTATATCTGTTTATTTTATATTATATATATAATATAAAGGTTATTATATTATAATTAATATGACACATTAAATATGTAAAACTTATTTTTTTTATTTTTATCCAATTATATATTTTTTAAAATTTTAAATTATACTATTTTTATATTTTTTATATCAAGTAACTTCCTCTTGCCTAGATAAAAACAATCCAAATCGGATTGCTTGATAATTGTGCAACTCCATTGGTCAAAAGCCTAGGATCCAAACCATATATGTAGATAGACTAGGAGATTGGGTTGCCATCAAGAAATTGACTACAATACATTAAAAAATGAAACTGATACGTGAAGAAATGAAACACTTTAATGACTTCCAACTTGGTTTTAAGATTTTCCTAACCTCTTGGTGTGAAAAGGTGTATGGAGGACGTCAAATTAGGCTATTTCTTTCAAGTGAATGAATTTGTGTTTGAATAATAATACGAAATTTGAAAAATAATGGCAAAATCAATAATCATTAACAAACAATTATAGTAGTCTGAAAATGGGATAACTATCAGTGGAAAGACAAAGCCCTCCCATTGCTTGCCACTTGCAGACTGATCATGTTTATCTGGTAAGATAATAGGGACTCAATGAAAGTTACTATATTTTCTTGCCAGTCATGCATGAAATTACCTTTTTAATAAATTATGAATTCCTTTTATATATTATTAGTAAATTTTTTAAATTTTACAAATGATTTTATTAAAAATTTATCATGTGAACTTTTTATGATATTAATTTGTTTTCTAATATACCTTTAAAAATATAACAATCCTCTAATTTTATTGATAAGATCTAAAAATTCCAACTGCAATATATAATATATTTTATCGTAATTATTATATAGTTTTTTCTTTTACAATAATCAATTATAAACTCAACAAATTAGGATGTTACACGTTAAGAGCTTAGACCCATACAACTAGACGGACTTATAAAATAATATTTAATCACTTATTATATCCTAACTTATTAAGATGGAGCGATAGAAAAGTCAAAGGTTGTCGTTTAACAGAGCATTTATATAACAAATCTTGAGTGGTCAAGCTAAAACAATTAAAAAAAATTATAAAATTAAATGAATATATTCTGTTACGCTTCAAATTAACATTAAAAATGTTTTTAATAATGGATAAAGTGTAATACACAAATAATCAACCTATCTTTTCAAAGCATAGATAGAAGTTGTAGTCTTATCAAAACACGTGAAGAAAATTGAAAAATGATGAATACCATAAACTAAGGATTTAGCCTAAACCATTCCTTGCATAAAATTATATAAGGAAATAAATATATGAATATCACATATTGGTATAATTGTTTGTTAAGGTAACAATAAAAAAGAAAGAAAGGGCAATTGTCTTGTAATAACGCAAAATCACTTCTACCAAAAAAAAAAAAAAAAAGCTAGGATCACAAATACTGAATGCACCATTTTCAAAGAAAACAACGATCAAAGTAAACTTTAGTTTACTGTAATCAGATAAAAAAAAAATCAGAATGTTGACTCTTGATGGGCCCAATAAATAATGAACAGATAAAGTTTGCGTTGAAAATAATTAAAACATGCAATGATGCAACAACCTTTCGTCGGCCAAATCGGTCCGTTGTCCCGCGGTCAAATGTTAGAATAGTTAATTCGGTTTCCAACTATTTAAAATTAATCTTCAGCTTATTGCTTTAGTAATAAAAAAACCTTTAAAAAAAAATATTAAAATTTGATTCAAATTAAATTTTTTTTCTTTTCATATAATAGGGTGTTGTTTTTTTTTTTTTTTGAACAAAAAAAATAAAATTAATTATATTAAATTATTTATTTTTATTAATAGAATATATTTATTAATTTAAAAATTAATTTAATTTAATTTGATTAATTTTAAAATTAATTAAATAATAAAATATATTTAAATTAAATTTTAATTTTAATTTTTTTATATTTAAAATAAATTAAATAAAATTATTTGACAAATTATTCAAATAGCAAAATATTAAATTAAAAATTCTAACAACTTATAAAATAAAAAATTTCATTTCATAAATTTTTAGTTGTATATTTGGATTTCTTATATTCTATTAAAACTTTGATTAATTTTTTTAAATTGAATTAAATAAATTAAAATTTTTAAAAAATTATTTTTAATAATCAATTAAAATTAATTAAATAATTTATTGATTAATAAAAATAAATTAATTCGATTGATTTGTTCGATTATAACTATATAAAATTCCTTACCAAATGTTGAGCATGCTCAATCTAAAATATTTGTGCAAAAAATAAAAAATCATAATTAAAAGTAGACAACCAAGTTATATTTCCTCCATATAAAAACGTTAAGACGTTCTTTAGCCCAAGAAACGTCAAACGGATCCAAAATCCAAGCTTAAATTTCAAGATTGGACCAAGTGACTCGTCAGCAACACATCAGAGCTACCTTTCTTCTTCAAACAAATAAAACCCAAACTCGCATTCCGAAATCGCGGGTCAGACTTTGAATTCGTCCATGGCTCCCGCCCTTATCAAAACACATAAAAAAATTTTTTCCGTTTAAAAGCCCCCCCCCCCCTTTTTTTTTTAATTTCTCTCGTTTTCATATTATGTTCATTTTCTTTTCCCAATAGGTCAGTGCTGAGGATCACTTAAACCCCTTTTTGGTTTTTAAATTTTCATTTCTTTTTGAAGGAACCCTTTTTTTATTATTTTTCTTTTGTTTTTTGCATATTTAAGCCAAATTATTTTTTTTTTGTTTTATATTTCATAATGAGTGGATATAATTTCACGAACGAAAAACCCAAAGTACGTTCAATTTTGGGTATGATGTTACTCAATTGAACCACTATCAACTCAAGCTCCTTTATGAAAATTCAAGATTTCAGTAGCTAAAATTTCAAAATTAAAGATAAGAAGAGAAAAAAGAAAAGAGATAGAAAAAAATTCTACAATGTAAAAAATGGGTGTAAAATTCCATTTTTTTCTTGTAACCACCTCCTTTTGTAATCAAATTGTAATCACTGTTACACCATTTGTCAATTTTCCAACAAAATAATTAACATATAGACTCATATATACTGATTGTAAAAAAATAAAAAACTACTAAATGACTTAGATAATTGGGCCCACATGGCCTTCTTCGATTCAACTTGTAAAAATTACCTCCCCCTTAAATAATCCTTGTCCTCAAGGATTGAAGCAAGGAAACTTTTTCTATAACTCATATAATCTTTCTCAAGTTGTATCTTCTAGATAACTATTACTTCACTGTACTAGACCCTTTGTGATTTCTCTGTTTTTTTTACTCAGTCTTCTATTTAAAATTATCGATGGTTCTTTGGCCACAATTTTATCTGCATCAATCATAGTAAGATTAGATTGTGTTGGAACTTTCCTAATGTGCTTCTTCAACTGTGAAACATGGAAGACAAGATGAATTTTAGCTTCAACAGGTAATTCTAGTTTGTAGGCATCAAGTCTTATTTTTTTCAACACATTTTAAGGGCTAAAGTATCTAGTAGCTAGCTTAAAGCAAAACCTGTTGATGATAGATTGTTGTCTGTATGGTTAGAGCTTAACATAAACTGAATCACTAATCTCAAATTACCTATCAACCTTGTGTCTGTCAGCTTGTTACTTTATTCTATTTCGAGCCCTCTCTAAATGAAATTTTAAAATTTTGATTGTGGCCTCCCTTGTTTGCAAATTTTTATCACTTCATTCTCTTTAAAATCTTCAAGTAGATATGGTTGATGAATGGGAGTAAATTGACCATAGATTACCTCATATGGTGTAGTTTGAATGAAAGTATGAAAAATAGTGTTATACCACCATTCTGCTAAAAAGATCCATTTGGAACAGTGTTTAGGTTGTTTTCTTGTCATGTATCTTAGATATGTTTCCAAATATCTATTGAGCACTTCAGATTGTCCATCTGTTCGAGGGTGATAAGCAGTAGTTTTGTTCCTAATAATTTGAACAATTCTTTCCAAAATGAACTAGTGAAAATCCTATCTCTGTCAGAAACAATGGTATTAGACACTCCATGCAACTTGTACACATTGTCTAGATAGGTTTTAGCAACTATAATGATAGTGAAAAGATAAGTCAGAATGATAAACTGGGCATATTTATTTAACCTATCCATTACCACTATTATAACATATTTCCCAAATGATTTAGGCAAACCTTCTATAAAATCCATAGACACATCAACCCATATCTTATCAGGAATTGGTAAAGATTGTAACAAATCTAGAAAGATAGTTTCATATGTGCATTTTTGACAAATTGTGCATTTTCTGATATGCTATTGAACTGCCTTTTTCATTCATCTCAATATACCACATTGACTATTCTCTTCATAGTTGCCTCTACTCTAAAATTCCCTCCATCTGTTGAATCATGAAAAAATATCAATAAGTCCTTCTTTAACTAAGAATCAACTCCCACCATAAGTTTTTCCTTCCTTCTCAACTGACTTGCTTGCCAAGTATAGTTAGGAGACTATCTTAGGTTGTTCTTGAGCTTATGCAGTAAATGTATCAAACTTGGATCTTTCAACCAAAATTGTTTAATCCTGGCTATTAGATCATTAGTTATAAAAGATAAAGCATATAACAAGGTTGTAGGATTTCAAGAAAGAGCATCGGTTGCCATGTT